TGTACCCCCAATATTTCTTTGGAAAATTGACAATTTCTAAAATCTTGAGGGAACAAAAAATGACCACCCCCAAAAAAAATTTTTTTTTTTACCCCCCTCCCTCCAAAAAAAATAATATTTGGAGAAATTTTCTTTTTGTAAAAATGTGGTACAATTTAAGAGACATCCATACACTTGAACACAAGTTATTGTCTGAAAACTATAACAATGCTTGTTTTAGACCCATTTTGGTCCCTTATTCCTAAACGGTTTGGGCAATTACCCCCAAAAATGAATCCCAACCTTCTATTTGTGGTATTGAACATTGTGGTACAATTTCAGAGCAATCAAAATACTTATACACAAGTTATTGTCCTGAAACTTGAAAATGCTTGTTTTTGGGTCCCTTTTTGGCCCCTAATTCCTAAGAGGGTGTAAAACTGCTGTATTTAATAAGCTTTTCATGTAAACTGTTTATCAAAAACGAAAGCAGTTACATGTATATTGAGAACGATACTGACAAGGATTTTTTTGCAGAAACTTTAGCAGAGGTATTTTTTATAAGTAAAAATGATTAATAGTATAAAAGATCTATAATACATGTATATATCAACATGGCCTACAATGTACATGTATATTGTAAATTGATCCCTTGCAGGAGTTATTGCTTTTGAAAGATGAATGTACCCGTTTTTGCATATTTTTTTTTAAAGAATTTACAATCATGACAATAGAAAGAGATAAACTGTAATAAAATGAGATGTACAAATAATTCAACTTAACATAAATCATCAATTGACCGCTTAAAGGAGTCATTGCCTTTGATATTTTCAGCAAATATAAGACCTACAAATAATTCAACATGACTGAAATCATCAGTCATTGAACTCCTCATGCTCCTTGCATGTTATTTCACTTCAATGACAATTTTTACCCATTTTTGTGTTTTTGGCTAAAAAAAACATATAATTTATACTTTGAACGGCAAATATGATAAGCTAGACAAATTCTGCAAATAAGTCAACATGACCAAAATAATTACTCAGTGGACTCCATATAAAAGTAATTGCCCATGATTGATAATTTTTTCCCACTGTCATGACTGTGTTGCATGTTTTGCTGAAACTATATATCATGATATATAGAAAATAGAGAGAAATTGTAAAATGCAAAAATGATCAGCATAATCAGATCTATACATGTAACTATAAGATTAGTTAAAGTGACTAAAACTGCAAGTAGTCAGACTATCCATGCTAGTTACAGGAGCAATTGCCCTAAATTAAAAAAAAATGACGATTTTTGACCAATTTGAGTATTTTAACCTTAGGCTTACATGTACAATTTGTACATGTATGTACAGCTTGAAAACTACAATATACAGTACATGTGCAGGTAGATAGACTAAAACTGTGACAGCAAAAATGATCAGCAACACAAGATCTAGTATTATTCTACATCATGTACATTTTGTACAAATAAATTTGTAATTGTCAACCGACTCCTATCAGGATTTGTTTAATACATTGTACCTCTAAATCACAATTTTAACACACTTTTTTTTCATTTCAACTTACTACAAATGTACAATGTATCTCCATAACTATAATGGTTATGGATATACAGAGAGAAATTTGGTCCAGCTAAAAGATTAGCAAGACAGATGTTGGCCCACCCAGTTTCTGTTCAACACCAAAACTCTATATATGCGCTAGTTGCATTGTATTAATTTTTTTGATGGAAAAATACCAGATGAGGGGATACAGGCTCCATGGAAAGTCTATTTGTACATTAAGTACATGAAGTACATGTATATTAACTATTACATGTGCACTAGTCTTTCTAGTCAACACTTGCTTCATACTTACAACTAACAATCTTTCAATAGCAATGCGCATGAAGTTTATCAGACAATGAGATGAATTCAAACTCAGTGATCGGGAAGGACATGCGCCATGCACCAATTGCGCTTTTCGACCATAACTGGCGCATAGGGTGACAAATGTAAGCGCCCACATGGCGCACGATATTTTTCACTTCGTTTTTAAACTTTAGATATCGTAAAATGGATTTCTGATCGTGAATCGTGTCGCCATATGTGTGTACAAAACTGTGTAGTGTTCCCTCCAATGATAGGAGCACCACCTATTAATTTTTTGGACGTCTCGGGCGTTTTTCTATGGTAATAATAGCAACATGCGGTATAACTGATTACCAGAAAGAACAGCATCCGTAGCAGTATATATACTAATAGGAGCTGAGCCCATTGAGTCGATTTTAGACAAAAACATGCTAGCACTGGATAGCTCGATAGAACGTAAAATATTAGAATGGGAATTGGAAATTAGTTCAAATTTTGACAACTCTTTTATTTGTCGTATAAATAAAATTTTGCAAAAATATCAATTGCCAAAAGCAGAAGAAATTATGGAACATGTACATCCTCCATCAAAATATATGTGGAAAAAACAATTGAAAACATCAATAAATGAATACTGGTCTTCAATTTGGACAATAGAATGTAACACAAAATCAACACTTAAACATTTATCTCTTCAAAAAAATCCGGTCTATAATCCACATAACATTTGGAAATGTGTTAGAAATAACCAATATGACATAAAAAAGGCAGAATTCAAATGTAAGCTAGTAACTGGTACCTACATGCTCCAAAGTACTAGGGCAAAATTTAGTAAAAATGCTATTCAACCAAATTGCAAGCTATGCAATGAATCTGAAGAAACCTTGGAACATTTCCTACTACATTGCTTAAGTCTATCTGATGTTAGGCAGCGATATATGGATAAATTATTCAAAATGCTACGAGAAATAGAAAGGGGTGGTACAACAAATGTTATTAATAATGAACTATTACTCAAAATTATATTAGACTGCTCAGCACTAGACATAATGAGTAATCAACCAATAGACAAGTTGCTAGATATAGAAAGGAAGACACAAGATTTATGCTACCATTTACACATGAAGCGTACACAACTTTTATGTGATATCAAGTGACATGAAAATATAACAGTAATATTAAATATAGTCTGAACAGTCTGCATGGGATGCCAAGCTAACTGGTTCAGTCTATAAATATCAGCATAAAAGATGCTATATAATTTTAACATTTGCCTTGGCAGGGCACCTATTGACTAGAAATCGTTAGGTTGTAAAATTTTTATTTATTCATATTGGTGAATCAAAGTGCCGTAATTTGTAACGTGTGAATAATATTATTTTTTTTTGTATTAATATCTTTTAAAATATCATCAAAGACATTATAAACTTTTATTTTATTCACTTTAACTAACTAATTTTATTTTAAAATTATATATTTTTCATATCGTAAATATAAAAATATCCGCTTTTTCGGTTAAATATTTAAAATTTTAATACTCATTCGATAAGTGGAGTGCTCCGATAAAACGGAGGAATATACCAGAACAGAACAGAACAGAACAGAACTGATTACCCAAAATACGTAATAAACCATCATTCATGATATAAATTTTTATAAACAACTTTAAATTTGTGAAATTTGGCTAGTACAGTCGAAAATTTTTCTCTAATTATAATCTTTTAAGTAAGCTTGCTATAATTTCGATTGAAAAATCCAAAAGCCTTTTTATGAATGTAGTATTTGTTTCCATAAAAGGCGCTTAACTGTCCTTGTCAATTTTTTGGTCTTTGGCTTGTTTGAACATTTTGTAAACATGCCTTCAGCGAATTGTTGTTGTGTCTTATCAATTAACGTTACTCTCTACTGTTATTCTTGTCATCGCGATGAAGTAATAATAATACAAGAAGTGCAGAGGAAATGCCAGAAACGTCATCTAATACGGAACGTCTGGAATAAAGTAAGGCAATCGACGAAGACCCAAATTTAATGTAAAGAAAAACATGAACATGAACAAGGCAACAGTACCAGTTGTAAATAAAGGTTATCGTAAATATTGCCCGGTTTGGAAGAAATTATTGTACATTCATTGAAATTGAAATTACAAAGCACAGGAACAATATCCATGATATCAGTTAGAATCATACAGGTACTGTAAGTACCACTGCCTCGTTGCTGAAATATACATTTTATTTTTTAATTATTTATTGTAAACGAATGGCCCACTCATTTGACAACATGGCCCATTAATTCTAAAAATGGCCCATTGAATTTATTTTATGGGGGCCCTGGGCCCATAGAGAAAAAATCCTTCCAGATCACTGCAAACTGCAACTTGGAAAAATAATTTTTGCTCATTGGCATTTTGAAAGAGAAAAGCCTTTAAATTTGGAACACTCTATCTGGCAATTAGAAAAATTATCACTGATTATAAGATTTTTACAAAAATTGTATACCTCATACATTTGTATGTACAGTGATGTACATGTAATATATGTTAGCAGACTTGACACAAACATGTTTGACAAAATTAAACAAAACAGAACTGCTTTGTTTAATGCTTTACATGATTCTTAAAACCTTGTTTCATTATTTGAATATACACCGGTAATGTGTATGAAATTTAATGCATGCACATACATATGTACATGTACATGTACATGTATAATGTTCAACTGTATCTACGTGTGCATTGTAAAGCCAAAAACTTAATATAGCAAATTATAATGCATAAGGAAATTATATGCAATGCACAATAAAACAATCAATTCATTATACTGTATATTACAGTATTAGTATATATATATTACTGTCATGACTGTATGTCTGGAAACCTTATATTTCTTTTAAGTCCGTGTGTGGGATAAGGCTCAAATGTCTTCTATAGAAAACTACTGGGTACCAAGAGAATTGGGTTACTTTCATTAACAGCATGCCTATATATAATTATTGGATCGAATAAATGCAATTTGTATAGAATACTGTAGTGATGTTAGATATTGTCTGTCTAACACATATTTAATCAATGTTGTAAAGAAATATTTGATTTGAAAATAACCTTTCACTTTATACTACAGGAGCTGTATGATTCATACTTTGTCAAGGAAAATCAATAACGTACCATTACCTGTTACATCTTTTCCAGACACTTGTCGTTGCAGTTTATTTTTTTCCTGCTGCAATTCCATCGAAAGAGTGTTAAATTTTCTCAGTAATTCTTCTAATTCGGAACTGCCACTATGACTAAATGGTAATTTAGGAACACAATAAATAGGATCATCATCACTACCACCAGCAGCATAAGTTTCATAATCAGAAGCAAATCCTCTCATATCTGTATGACCTTTTTGAGGATTTGTAAAAACTAATTCTGAATCTGAGTTATAATATTCTGGAGACCTGCTACGCTGTGATTTGCCATATTTCCCTTTTACGTGTATCATGTCTTTCAAACCCCCTTGAAATTTCCTTGCTGATTCTAATGTTTTTGAAGTCACATCATGATAGCTAGGGAGCTGACCTCCTACATATATTTCAGAATCTGAATTTATATTTAATCCACTTTTGTTTACAGATTTAGATGGTGATTTTGGAATTAGTTTTCTAGGAAGGCCACCATCTGAATACATATATTTTAAGTATTCCTGATCACTGGCACTCCCATGTTGATTTGGTGATAGGTTTGGACTGAAATATGCACTGGCTTGGTCATATGCACTATCAGATGCATATCCTCGATATCCTACATAATAATGCTTACTATTAGAATCAATGCTTCTAGGTAAGGATCCATCACTAGAATTTTCACTATCTGCTTCATCAGAAAGTAATTTAGCTTCAGCTTTGTGGGGTGAAATAAAAATACTGGCATATTGTGATGAGGTAGGCCTATCATGTCTCCTTCTGGACTGTTGATGTTCGTGTTCTTGAGTAAATGGGTCCACCAGATTTGCAGCTTTTTCTGTTTCTTCTAGTGCTGTTTCGGATGATGAGCGTACTTTATGAAACACATTTACAATAGGTTTTGTTTCTTGTTCTGTTACTGCTAGAGAAGGACAAGAGTTGTTTTTCTTATGGCACTTTCTAGTTCTGATTTTTAATGTTAATTTCTTTGGAATTGACATAAGAATAACTACATCATCAAGAGACATATTTGACACATCCTTCTTGTTTATTGTTAAAATTTCATCACCAATATGTAATAATCCATTGCTATCTGCAACGGTTCCAGTCTGAATACGAGAAATAAAAACACCACCATTCCTATCCATGCCATTTCCTTCTCTTATATAAAACCCTAAAGACTGACCGGGTCTCTTTTTTATTTCAACAGTTTGAACAGAGTGTGAATTTTCCATCATAATGTTTTTTATACCCATATCAGGTGCTCCGGTAAAGCCTGTACCATTACTGGGGGAACTTTCACTACTTGCTTCATTCGTTGCTTGATCACCTTTGACATATGTGTCTGTTGCGGTTTCTTGTGTGGTTTTTACTTTTTTTCGGTGTATTGGTCGTTTTTCTTGTGTCGTCAGAAATCCATGTGCCATAGAATTTTCTTCCTCCTGAAATACGAGAAAAATAGTTTACTACTATTATCATCCATCGGGGAAATGACATGGATTAAATTAATAACATCTTTCGAAATCAATAACAGGAAGTGATCATCAGTTGATGCATTATGTGATTTCACCGACTTGAAGAATTCCAATCAAGAGGAGGTAACACCGTTAGGAATGATTCATCGCCAAGTAAATCAATATTAGATTTTACATTGAACACGAATAAGGTATTAATTATTAACTGCTGGGGAATCGATTTTAGTGTAAAAAGCGACAATTTACAATGTTACATATTCATCGAAGTGTTGTTACAAAACTGCAATTCGATAATCAATTTTCAACTTTGTTCGATTTAATATACTTTTTATTAATTTATAATTTTCCAAAATTTGGAAATACCGTTGTCGTCCACGAAGTCTGCATTAAACAATTATCATTTGTGCGTGTACTTTCTTTTAAGTCCGCGCTTTAAAGTTAAACGCCTCTTGTATGTAGAAAAACTAAACATGGGTGTTTTCCACGACGTCCGCATCTTGATACTTATCATTGGTGCTTTCTCTCAGGTTCTCGCTTTAAATGCAGTCAATATTCAATCACGGAGAAAGGCTATTGCAGTGGAAATATTTTGGGGCCGATGCGGAGGAGGGGTCAGTAAAACTTCTTAAATCTTTTTTTCAATCAGTAATTAAGCAGCAAACTAAAATATTTTTGCAGAAGTACAACTAAGGCACAGAATTGAAAAACATGCAGTTCTAAATACAATGAAGGTTTACATCATTTCTTTTACTGTCTTAAAATGGGTAAGCCGGGGGCTGCACAAATATAAGTTTACTTCTTGTGCTCTTTTTCGTCATCTATGGAGACTGGGACTAATAGTCCCAGATCGAGACAGAAAATTCAGTGAAATAATAAAAATTATTGTTATATGATCATTGATACTAGTAAATAATTTTATAACGAATGCATATAATGTAATTTTATAACGAATGCATATAATATAATTTCATATTTAATTGTGCATTCATATTTAGATGGTTGATGTCTCTGATTCTGACCGATGCTAATATAATAGATATACATGTACACTGTGATGTTTATTATTGTAATAATCAATTATGTCAATCAATTGTAACTGATTTTTATGCTCTTTATGGGCCCTGTAATTTGGGAAATAAAAATATTCTATTCTATTCTATTCAATTCTATGATCTTGAATAATATTATGTTCATTTGCAGGAATTTTGCCTTTTTGTCGTTTACCTGTTTACTTGTGCAGGTGTCTTGTCACAAGTTAGGTTAATGTCGCAAAATATATCAGTAAACATGAGAAAACGAAGTTTTGCATTAAGGATTAATAAACTGGTACCCAGATTAACTGCTTGTATCCTGTGACAGGACTACCTTCATTCAATTTGTATTCTTGCAATTTTTTTTAAAGTTCGATGGATGTCATCTTCATTGTGTTTATAAGCAAAATATAATTTAACTATATTTTTTTCATTGTGAAATGTAACAAACTTTATTAAGTTATGTCGTGCTTGTAGCCCATTTTGCTGTGCATCTGCGAGTTGGTACCGAAAAACATGTTCAACCATCCCATTTTCTCTGGAGAATGCCTGTACTAAATCGGGATCATGGCAATCAATTTCATATTCTGATTGTCTGTGTGATTGCACTTCCCGATTGTTTTATCGATTTAGTTGAATTTTTGAGGCTATCATATATAGATCTACAAATAAGCAACTAAGTGACCAAAGCGGAAAATTTGGTGTGCTAGAGTCCGCCTTTCCATATAATAATTGGTCTAGCAGAAACAACTGTCGTTAGTTTTTTTTTATACAACTTATGCATAAACTTGATTGCACTAATTTTTTTTATTGGAGGGGGGGCTTGAAGATGAGTCAACTTCGTCAAGAGTTGTGTTCCTTATAAATCCTAAATGACTTGTCATGCGAAATGACCTCGTTACCTCGACCAATGTCTTTTTTTTTTATAACGGCACGCGAGACCTACATCTCTCCTTTTGGGATTTAAATTATATTACTACATGACTGTTAAACTTTTTTTTAAATTTCAAGACGTGAATTCCATATGTGCCCATTAAATATTGTTCATAATTGTAGACATAATTTAAGTTTTAATTGCATTTTTTTTATATCGGTATTGAAAAGAACGCACTTTGAATTTTGCACAAGACCGTGTTTTCTGCACTGTTTCTGATGTTGCTTATGACATCTTTTTATATAACGGTTTGTATTAGAGTATAAAAAGACATCATTTTATTAAGGAATGTTAATTATACTTTAAACTTTCCATTCTAACAGAAACTTTGAACATTCTTTGATACATAATTATTTTGCACATTTTTTTTAACTCGTCGACAGCAGAATTGGAGTTTAGTTTTAAGTTAACATATTTTACTGCTAAATACACAAAATATTCGTTATTCCAACTTCTAATACACATGTATCAGCAAAAGATATATAATGAAGTAATATCATCTATACTACTAAAATAACGAGGTCCAATTTGTAATCCGGCATGACGTAAAAACGACGAATCAAAGAATTCAACTTTATATACAACTAAGATAGGACAATGGTGTTGTTTAAAAATTACACCATTCCAGGCCCTTTTGTTTTCCACAATAATAATATTACCAATAATTAACCATTTCCGGGTCGAATCCGATACCGATACAATAGTATGATATGTTAGGAGTTTCTAAGTTTTAAAGACCTTCGGGATCCCCTGGTTTTGTCGGATTAATATACACATCTTCAAAAAATTTGAAGAATGAAATTTCTTCTCTTCCCAAGTGGAATTCTCTCTCTCCTTTACTTTAGGAATTTCAGGTAAAACATCTGGATATGTGCCTGTATAATACCGATATATTGAATATTTCTTACCTAATTTTTGTGATACTTTTCCCTGTATGATTTCCTATTCAACACAGATCGAGTTAACCATGGGTAGTCGACAGGTAAGAAAATAATGTTTACGGCCGAACCACATATTTACGGTTGTGCCAGCCTTTTCAATAAGTGTCTATGTCGATGTCCTCTCTCGCTCTTTAAATAATTGAGAATATGAGAATAGTGTGTTGCTTAAGACATTTGGTTGCGTCTCGTAATAATTTAAAACGTGTGTGTACAAAAGGGGGATATTTATCAATTATGGACTTTTGAGGAGGTCAATACGTTATATATGGACCTGTTCAGATTATATTGACCGAGGACGAAGTCCGAGTGTCAATATAATCTAACAGGTCCATATATAACGTATTGACTGAGTGAAAGTCCTAAATTTATATATTACATATGTAAATAATGTATTAGTAAAATGGCATTCAATGTTCTTTCTGTTTATTTTTAAATTGCAGAGGCGGATTTAGGGGGTGGGGAGGGGGCCCGCCCCCCCCCCTTTTATCGGAAAAATTTGGTTGATTATATAGGGAATCACTGAAGCATGACTGGAGCGGGGTCCCCTCTTAGGCAGACAGTGGGCCCCCACTTATGAAAATTTCTGGATCCGCCACTGAATTGTATTTTGCAAGATTAGTATTTTAACATGTTATTGAAAATATCAATATTCTTTGAACAACTTCATAGCTTGTTGCGTTAGCTTTCTTGTATTCTTAGCGTCTGGGTTTAACATAAAAATTCTTGTGATAAACTTGCAAATTTTCTTTTCATCTGCTGCGGCGCTTCCTCCATGCATGGGTGTTATGTGTGACGTCATGACGTCATTAATCAAAATTTAGCAAGATTTTTCATATTGACCGTCAATATACATATAAATATAAACATAGCGTCAATATACTTAGAAATAGAAACAAGGCTTCGGATACATAAAATAACCTTTCAAACACGTGATCGTAATATCCAATGAAAACAGGAGAATGCTACACCATATATAATATATCGGTATATTGTGAGAGCGTTAATGATTATTATTGAATGCTGTATGATGACTTCTTAATGTCTATTTTGGTAAATTTGTGTCAGTTGATTGCTGTCTCAATTTGTATATAAAAATGCTGTCCTATTTTTCAAACCGACATTCAACTGTTCATGCATATTCCAGGCTTTTTGCCTTTTACATTTATGCAGTATTTTTACTCCACAATGCCATAGTTGTACGTCTTGATACCGGTTTCAAAATTTCAGTTATGTCTCTTAAGGATATCCATAATAGATTTCAACGGGATATAAGTCTTTGTATAGGATTGAAGAATTTTTGTTTATTATTTTAAGATTGTTTTTACATTGCTCTCAAAAAAAAAAATAACTGTGGGAATATATTCCCAACTTTTTCTTCTTCCGCAAATTTACAGATTTAACATTGTTGTGCTGTAATTTAGAGTAATTATGAATATATAAACACGCACACATCATATAAATTTGCTGTTTTAGATATTTCACAATAAATTGATACAGGCAGTAAAGCTATCGTTGAATATTGAAAAGTAATTGCAGAAGTAGGCGATGTTAGTCTCTACAGAGAATTAATCATTTCACATTATAAATCAAACATATTCGCAGCTTAATCCTCTTCTAACGTGCTACAGACTACTAGCTTACAATTCTGTGTAAATATTAGCAAGCTGTACAAATGGCTCTTTAATGACAATAATCTCAAACCCAGTTATTATATGGAGAGGCACTTCAAATACAAATTGTAAAACCGAGTTAATTAAATAAGGAGTTTACTTGTAATACACGCCTCAGTTATGTTGTACCAGTGAGGATGTTCATGTTCCTAGCTACGTTCGATGATGAATATGGCAGACGAGTTATAAAACATGGCATTTGACATGACGTCTGGTTTTATTTCTTATAATCGATTACCGCAAACAATTATCAAGATCATTAAAACCATCATAAAAAACAGTAACGATATCAAACAAGGCATACAAGAATTATTCTTTGAAAAAAAGGAAGTTTCAAACAAGTGATTTATTAATAGACAAAAATAACAACAGTATGCAGACTTTATTAAGC